CAGAAATCACAATAGCGTGATGCATCAAATGAACAAATCCACAAGGGCCGTGACGAGGATTCGAACCTACGTCCGAATCGAGCCTAAGTAGGCGAACCTACGTCCGTCCAACTTAGGTTACTTTTGATTTTACTTTTGAATAAGGCACAGCTAGGACAGTTTTTTAATTCGTTAGGGAGTGAGTTCCATAGACTAGATCCATTTATTTTCATAGAGTGTTTGCACAGATTTAATTTGAAACTGGGGACACCAAAGAGGTATTTATTTCTGGTGTGGTGATCATGGGTTCTATTACATCTGTCAAGGAGGAGTTTCAGATCAGGATTAGCATTTAGGAACAATGTTTTGTACACGTAAATGGCACAAGATAATGTGTGGAGTGAGTTTATGTTTAGCATATTTAGGGATTTAAACAGAGGGGCTGTGTGTTGTCTGAAAACAGAGTTTGTTATTGTTCTGATAGCAGACTTTTGCTGGGTGATGATGGGCTTGAGGTAATTTGCAGTAGTTGAACCCCATGGATAGATACCGTATGTAAGATAGGGATAGATTAGCGAGTAGTATAATGAGAGGAGAGCAGAGTAGGGAACATGTGAAGTATAAATACCACAATCGAATATTTTGGAATGAGTCCATGTTTAGAATGTTATATTTCTGATTGTTGATTATTTGCTGGGTTTGAGGCAGTTTGAGGTGGTTGAACCCCATACACAGATACAGCATACAAATTAAATGGTGGATAAATACTGTATGAGAATGTATTACCTGATAATTTGTAAAGTATATCAGCAGTTTTAAGAGACTTTCTTTTGAACCTAAACGTTGTATGTGTGAACTGACGATAAGTCTCTTGTCTATACACAGGCCTAGGAACTTTACCTTACTTTTACTATCAATGTTTCCATTGTCTACCTGAAGGTTTATTATATGCAGACTTTACCTCACTCCCATACCTCTACCCTTTCTTACCTTACTCCTATCCTTAAACCTAGTCACCTCTCTCACTCTCTTACTTTATAAACTGACTGTCTCTACCATTTTGTGTTC